AAAAAAAAAAAATCATCTCCATAACATAAAAATTCAAAGTGAAGCAACAAGTGCTGATGCAGAAGCTGCAGCAAGTTATCCAGAAGATTTAGCTAAGATCACTGATTGTTAAGCTAGGCTATAATGAAAAAATACCAGTTAAATCCTGGCAAATTTCCAGACTGCAAGCTTTAAGGAAAAAGAGATGAAGTAAGTCTAGTTCACCGCCAAGATAAATGAGAAAGTACTAATTGATTTCTTGCTTCTAGTTCACTCCTAGTTTCTTGGCTAACTCCCTGGGAAACAGACCAGGAAGTACCAACTGTCCCCAGACTGGCCTTTAAACAATACCAACTGAAGAAATTACTGAAACTAAGATGTATGGAGGGAAAGTACTGAAAATAAAAATGTATGACGTATGGCTAACTAACTGCAAAATTCTGTTTCTGTACAATGCTTGCTTGCTACCCCATCCTAATGCACCTGGACAGCCTGTGTGCCAACCAGGATGCAGACCAAGCCTTAAAAACCCAACCCAACCCATGGGGGGCGGCACCTGTGGCTCAAAGGAGTAGGGTGCCAGCCCCATATACCAGAGGTGGTGGATTCAAACCCAGGCCCTGGCCAAAAAACCCCCCCGACCCTTAAGCAGTCAGGGCTGCTCTTAGAAACCCCAAGTTGGGGCACTAAGGCAGTCGCTGGCTGGCTCTCCAGTAAAGGAACTCTGCTGTGAATTTGGCTTGTCTGGCAGTGTGGTCTTTGTGGAACTCCTGGGCACAACATGATGAAGGTAGTTACACTAAACAACAGATTTTCAGTGTAGATAAAACAGCCTTACAAGAAGATGCCACCTAGGACTTTCACAGCTAGAGAGGAGAAGACTATGCCTAGTTTCAAAGCTTCAAATGACAGGCTGACTCTCTTGTTAGTGGCCAATGCAACTGGTGACTTTAAGTTAAAGCCAGTGTTCCTTTACCATTCTGAAAATCCTAGGGCTCCTAGGAGAATTATGATTTAAGTATTAGGCAAAATATACTCTGCCTGTGCTCTATAAATGGAACAACAAATTCTGAATGACAGCTGTTTATAAGCATGGTTACTGAATATTTTAAGCCCACTATTGAGATGTACTGTTCAGAAAAGAAAGATTCCTTTCAAAATCTTACTGCTCATTGCCTATGCACCCAAGAGCTCTGATGGAGATGTACAAGAGATTAATGTTTTCATGCCTAGAACTCAACACCCTATGTTCAACCCGTGGATCAAGGAGTAATTTTGACTTTCTATAGCTGCTATAGATTGTGATTATTCTGATGGATCTGGACAAAGTAAATTGAAAACCTTCTGGAAAGCATTCATCATTATAGATGCCATGAAGAACCTTTGTGATTCTTGGGAGCAGGTCAAAATACCAACATTGAGAAGAGTTTGGAAGAAGTTGATTACAACTCTCGTGGCTGAGTTGGAGGGGCACAAGAGTTCAATAGATGAAGTAATTGCCATTATGGTAGAAATAGCAGTAAAACTAGAATTAGAAGCAGAATCTGAAGATGTGACTGGATTGCTATGAAACTTGAAACTCATCATGAAACTTGAACAGATCAATGCTTGTTATGGATTAGCAAAGAAGGTTATTTACTGAGATGGAATCTAATTCTGGTAAAGATGGCTGTAAGCATTTTTCATATCATCCTTTGAAAAGACAACAAAGGACTTAGAATATTGCATAAACTTAGCTGATAAAGTAGTGGCAGGATTTGAGAAGATTGTCTCCAATTTTGAAAGAAGTTCTACTGTGAGTAAAATGCTATCAAACAGCATCACATGCTACAGAGAAATCTCTTATGAAAGGAAGAATCAATCAATGTAGCATATTCATTGTCTTGTTTTAAGAAATTGCCATAGCCACCCAATCTTAAGCAACCACCACCCTGGTCAGTCATCAACCATCAACATTGAGGCAAGACCCTCTATCAGCAAAAAAGATTATGACTTTCTAAAAGGTTAGATGATCATTAGCATTTTTTGCAATAAAATATTTTTAAAGTATGTACATTTTATTAGACATTAAACTAATGGAAACTTAATAAACTACAGTATATATAAATATAACTTACATGTATTACAAAACACAAAAATTAATGAGACTTACTTTATTGTGGTATTCACTTTATTAAGGTGGTTTAGAGCTGATCCTGAAATATCACTGAGTATGCCTGTATTTCATTTAGGAAGGAAATGAGGCTTTTATCCAGGCCTTTTTTTTTTTTTTTTTTTTGAGACAGAGCCTCAAGCTGTCACCTTGGGTAGAGTGCAGTGGCATCACAGCTCACAGCAACCTCCAACCTCTGGGCTCAAGTGAGTCTCCTGCCTCCGCCTCCCAAGTAGCTGGGACCACAGGCGCCCACCATAATGCCCAGCTATTTTTTGGTTGCAGCCATCATTGTTGTTTGGCAGGCCCGGGCTGGAGTCAAACCCGCCAGCTCAGGTGTATGTGGCTGGCGCCTTAGCTGCTTGAGCCACAGGCGCCGAACCTATCCAGGATTATTAATAGGTGAAATTGTTTCCGAAGTTTTTCTTTAAGGGAAAAAGAGTCTTTGGAGTACATGTATGAAATGAGAATTTGGGAATCTATGGATTTTAGTTATCCACATCTTCTCCTCTGTTCTGTCTCTAGATGATAAAGAAGTACTTAACATAGAATAAATGGCTTCTCATAAAATGTGAATGTTCGGTCTCTCCCATTTTATAGTAATGGACTAGTATTTTCTTTATGTCTTTATTCCACTTTTTTTTTTTTTTTAAGTCAGAATCTCATTCTGTCACCCTGGGTATAGTGCCGTGGTGTTATCACAGCTCACAGCAACCTCAAACTCTTGGACTCAAGAGATCCTCTTGCCTCAGCCTCCCACGTAACTGAGACTACAGGTGCCCATCTTGACACCCAGCTAGTTTTTTGTATTTTTAATAGAGACGAGCTCTTGCTCTTATTCACGCTGGTCTCAAACTCCTGAGCTTAAGCAATTCACCCATCTTGGTCTCCCAGAGTGCTAGGATTACAGGCATGAACCACTGTGTCTGACCTGATCAATTTGGTTCTCCTTCATATATTTAGAGTATAATATGCTATGTTTGACTTTGAGACTTCTCAAGTTGAAAAATGTGTGCTTCATTTTAACTGTTGTGGGTAGTTTGATTGGACAATGAATATGTTCTTCCATTTTGCTGTTCTCCTAGATTACTGTGGAACCATGATTATTGAAGGGGAGGAAGCTCCAATTTCCTACACACTGGATGATACCAAACCTGATGGCACCTATGCTGCAATAATGGGGTAAAGCATAATTGTGGTGTTATGGCTGCTATTCAGCATTGAGAAGATAAGATAATCTCATATTGTTAATAAAGGTGCCAAACTTTGTTGAATTATTTTTTTACCCAGTGGCACTATTCTTCAAATCTAGCCATATAAAAATCTTTATTGCTTAATTTTTATAATGCCTTGCAGTGACTAAATATCTAGAAATTAATATGAAAATTTAAAATTTTGTTATATTAATTTTTGTTGCAGATTTAGTGCTTGGGGTAAATAATTTTGGTGAGCTACCTTATGTTGAAAGTATGATTGAGGCTCAGCGCCTGTGGCTCAAGC